GACAGTATCCAAAGCTCTCTGACGTCACCTCGGCGAACGTTAACTGTCGTAGGCATACCTAACGCTAACCGTCATTATTCTGCTTCGTCTAGAAAAACTATTTCCAAATGGTGGGCGAGCATCCCTACAGCAAGGGGACGTGCTTCATGCGGTGGTACGCGCTTGCCTTCTGCTTCGTCGTCGCGCCCATCACGGTGGTCATCTGGTGTCACTACATCCTGAGGAAACCGTTCCTCACGCACGGGCCCGCCCACCTCCTCCAGATCGTCAACGTGTTCTCTTGCCTGGTGGTGTTCGCCCTTGCCTGCATGATAGTCCGCGACCTGGCGTCCAAAGTCGCCGCCAAGCTCAAGGAGGTGGGCCCCCATCCCGCTAGCCTTCACCCCGGAACTTGTATTTAGCCTTGGGGGGCTTGCTGCTTGATCTTGACCTCCAGGAATTGGACTCCGACCGAATGACCGCTTCCCGCCTCGAGGAGTTTCGCCTCGCGTGGCTCAACCTGCGCCAGCTGACGCTTGACCTAGGCAGCATGCCTCTCACGGGCTTGTCGATGGTGTTCTACCTCCTCGTCATGTTGACGCTGACCAGCTACCAGTCCGCCGTGTCCTACTACAACAACTACATCCTCCTGTGCTTCGGCAGCACCGGCGTCCTAATCCTGTCCCAGTTCGCGCTCATCCACATCTGCGACACGGCGCACCGGCTGAAAGACGTGGCGAGTACCACCTGAAGTCCATCAACGGCCCCGGCGCGACAGCCACGTAATGTTACCCTGTTTTACTTCCAGATGTCGGATGGTTTCTACGAACCTCTAGCGTCGAAAAGCTGGAGGGGACTGCCGGCCGACCTGCTCACTGAGGTAAGCGAAAGTTATTCAGACATGAATAAGGCTGGATTTTTAACTGTTTCATTTCTCAAATTTTTCAGCACCAGCAGTTTTTACACACGATATCGACTAACCCGGCCGAGGTGACTTTTATGGGCATGATCAGCGTCAAACGTCCAACATATCTAAGCGTATGTACTGGCCCGGGGAATGCCCGTCATACATACGATTTTTTACAATAAGGTGTATTCAGATAATATTCTATGGCTTCTTTTTTGTTTTTGTTTTTTAGATCATGGCAGCCATTGCCACATACCTGATAGTTCTCTTCCAGCTTCGGATGTCCGACGAAGATTTGCCAACAAAAGCGACGGCTAATTCAACAGAATCCAGTTTGGATTCTTTATTTGGCAGCAAAACGTCGAAATAAAATTTTCCTTTTTTTACACGAGTACGACCGATTCACCTATCCCACTCTACACGGGAAAAAGGAGGCAAGGCGTGATGAGACTGTCAAAGGGCGGGCATTCTTAGACACACTCGATTTTCCGTCGGATGCACCAAAAGCAGCCAGCAGGAGCAGGCGCCGTTTTACGATACGGCCCGTGGTTGGGCCACTGTGAAAAAAGGAGGCAGGTTTACAGGAAAATTTTCCTTGACGCAGGTTGTAAAATTACAATTTGTAATCGTAAAAATACATGCAGTATGTATCGACTTCAAATCCCTTGGCGAGTAAAAAATGTGCTGTCGTAAATTTACAACTTGAATTAATTCGAGTTTACAAAATTTTTGTAAATTTACGACGATATTTTTCACAGCGGCTGGGTGGGCGTTATGCGTCGTGCGGGAGTACATATGACGTGTGGCACCCAAAAAAGCGTGTTCTTGAGTGAAGTAAATGTGCGCGGCTGAACCGTTAACATTGTCGTGTCCCAATGAAAATTGCGTTGGTGCAAATGAAAATTGCACTGCCCTGATGCAAATGTTTTTGAGAAATCAGGGGTCGAGAACATGCTTTCCTGGGTGGGACTAGTTCAATTGTTAACAGAGACGGTACGGGAGACGACACAGATGCCCCCGAAAGGGTGCCGGCCGGGACTGAAGGCCGCATTTCCAAATAAGCAACGGTAAATCACCGCGACGCGAGACCAAATAACAGTGAAAAATAGTTGTAGGCTGTGCAGAACGGGACGATACACACGCAGTTCGCCCGTGGTTCGCCGGTCGGTTGCGTCATTTTCGCGACCATTTTTTATTAAACGATAGTAGGCTGCTCAAGCTCCAGTATCAGTCTTGAACACGGCCACCTGATAAAAGTACCCCACCCCCTAAACATGCAAGGTGTCC